TTTTATATACCGGTCTCGCGTTATAACGGCCAAAAACTGCCAAACCACTCACGCCGGTATAGAGAGAGTTGACTGTAGTTACGGGATAGTGAAATTTGAAAAAAACATTAGGTAAGGTAGATTTAGTCGCACAATGCACTAATAGATTTGGAGTAAACTTAGTTATTTAGACAATACGCGATAGTCAGTAACATAAATTGCGTCGAGAAAGAGATTTGTATGCATACCATACGAATAAGAAGCGAGGAATAATTTCAAAAAAAAAAAAGCCAATATTTTTAATAGTTTTGATATATGCATTTAACAGACTGTAGTAAACGAGTATTTGACGGTTAATGCGAAAAACTAATTAGGAATCGAATGACTTGAACGGCAAATAAAAAGTCAAAAGAAGGTTAGTAGAATAACAGGAGGTAGCGATGAAAATGTACCTTATGTGAACAATTACACATTTCGTAAAAATTATAAAAACTCAAAAATCAAATTGAACATGACAATTTAGCGGAAGTTGTACTTGTCCTGTCCTATGTCTAATCAAGTTGCCTTCTTCTATTCTATAATTAGCGGGGTGACACTCCAATAAGAAAGAAACTCATTATGACAAACAGGCGACGCCGTGAATCGATGGCTTATTTGCATAAATGAGTAGTTTGAGACTGTCGTCCCAATGCCATACAGTCGTTATGTCAAAGGAGCTTAAGACTTGAAATGGACAATAGTCACTCAAGCGCGCTGCAATCCTATCGCGACAAGTTATGCTAATTATATTCACAATTCTCAGATAACAGTTTACTTTTAAACCACAATAATATGGTTATTAGCGAAATTTTGATCTTAACTTTACATGATTGTCCGACATAGAAAAGATTACGATGTGTCTCTACATTTAAAATTTGTTATAGTAAAAGTCTTTTGGTGATATCAGCTCGCTGACAGTCAATCGTATTAACAATTTGAAAGATTGAGCAAACCCATCTAAATTACACAATAGAACTACAAAAATGTGACATCGTTAAAATATGCAGAGGTAGGTGTAGTAGATGTAGACGATGGCGTTGATGGCGTAGAGATGAGATTAACTGATGTTGATTGTGGATGAATATTCCTAGTCTGTAACTGATTGCCCGTCGTCTGAGACAGGGTTACAACAACTTGTTGAGACTGTGATATAGTCAATTGCGATTCACCGACCATAGGCTGTATAGAACGTTCTGTTGTCATTGTAGAAATTGTCTGGTGAGTTCGTGTCATCGGAGTGGATGTGGACGGAGGTGAGGACATGGATGCAGGTGTGGTAGAAGTTCTTGATAATAGACTTGTCTGACCATATGGATTTAGTACCATTTGTTGCAATTGTAACCGTAACTGTTGTTGTATCTGCGGATTCGTTTCATTATATGACGCATTCGAGGTCGTAAGTCTTATGATTTCCATTGCTAATTTCACTTGAGATTGAGCGTCTGGATAATTTCGTATAATGTCTTCTACAGAGGCTCCGGTCATCATCGACACATATCGAACGTGTAACAAGCTGTCTGTTGAACGTGTTGGCGTGTAGTATGAAAGCGACGGCCCCGAATGTGGCAAAGTCGTCAGTGGCTGTGTTTCGGCATGCATATTTGTGGCATTTGATGAAATTTGTGTTGATGATAATGTCTGTTGTGATGGTATTGTCTGTTGGGGAGCCTGTGGTTGAACGGACGTTAACGTCCGTTGTGGCACAGGCCTTGAGCCAGATGCAGAGACAGGTGTTGGCGCAGGTGCCGATACGGCCGTCGTCGGCCTGGGCACTGAAACTGGCGTTGGTGCAGGTACTGTGACAAATGTTGGCGCGGGTGCTGACACGGACGTTGGGGCGGATGCGAAAACAGACGTTGCCGCGGGTGCTAGAGCAGGTACTGAGGCAACAGACGTTGAAACGGGCGCCGGCGTGGGTGCTAGAGCAGGTACTGAGGCAGAAGACGTTGAAACGGGTGTGGGCACAGCTGCCGGCGCGGGTGCCGGCGCGGGTGCCAATCCTGGCGTTATGCCTGGTGTTGCTACATCTTGCCGTCGAGCAGGCATAGGGGCTATAGGCATCACAGATGGAGTAGTCGTTGTCTTAAAAATTGGTCCTAATCTTCGCGGCGGGAGCGCTTGCCGTTGTATTTGCTGTACTTGTTGTGATCCTAGAGAGGTTAATGCCGACGACGTCGACAATGATTGCGTCGTCAGTTGAATTGCCGATGGCGCTGTTTGGGCTCTTTTTGGTCGTATTACCGTCTTCCGTTGTTGCTGTAATGACTGCAACTGTTGTGACGGTTGCTGCTGCGACTGCTGCTGTCGCAATCTCTGTTGTTGCATTAGCTGTGTCTGCTGCAATGCCGGTTTCTGCGCCGTCGCCGGCTTATCAACAAACTGAATAAGCATGGCTGTAGCAGACTCCACGTGCTTTCCTACATGTCGAGCAAGCTCTATTCTCGTTGGAAAAGACTTGTCACATTTATGCCACTTGCAAGAGAAAGCTTGGCATGTCGCGTTGGCAACCATTTGCAGAAAGAGGTGTATTTTTTGTCATCGAAATTCTTATTGCTGATCATATGACATTTATTTTCTATTGATATTCTAGTACGATCAACACGTGTATAAAACAGTTACTAACTATTTATAGTAAGAGATCTGGGGTAGCTTAAACTTTAATACTTTGTCACCCACCAAAGTTAACTGCTGGCCACTACTCTTATTTTGTACAGATAGGTGGACACCAGCCCATCTTGTCCGTTATATCGACGTTGATGTTATCATAAAAGCTCTGGCTTTTTATGCTATTACTATGGGCACTTCAGATAAGTAAACAAGAATCAGACGTTGTCTTAAGCCTTCCTAATCTGTTGACACGTTTTTTCTAGCCGCTGGGTTTACAGCTCTCATTTTAGTAATTCAACCCTTCAAAGACGTACATGCCAAAATAATTAAATACGAAAAAGAAGTATTAGGCTTCAGTCTTATGCCAAACATAAACTGAAATAATGACATGACGAAGTAGTTTGGTCAACATCATTCCTTTTATTAATACCGCGTAAGCTGTCAATCATGGAGCTTTGCATAAATTCACGCACATACGCATCATTTCAGTCTTTCAATCCTTCCAAGGCTAATGCCAGTAAAGTCATCGATACAGCTTCTGGCTCTTCCTCTTCGATGGCATCAACCTCCCTATATTCAGTAGTCACGTTTGCAGGAGGCTCTAACAGATTGCCCAAGAGATCTGATCGAAGAAATAACAAAAGGGATAAATAGCACCGTCATGGGAAGAACCGTTCGCAAAACCAAAAACAAACAAGACTCACCTCTATCTCCTTCACCGATGCCGCCAGCTGCTTTTTTAGTGGTTGTCTGGACAATCCCTGGGTCCAAGAATTTCAGTTTCAACGTAGGATGCTTGACAAAGTCTACTCGTCCGCTCCACAGCCAAATAGGTATAGTGCAAGGGATTTCTATTTCTGCTGAAAATTTTTCGACAAATTCATTTTCCTCGGACGAGGTTACTCCTCCGCGAAGGAATCTATTTGAATGCAAACAGTTATCGGAATAAGACACAGCCGTATGCCAAATCTTGGATAACCTGATTTTTTATAAATAAGTCCTGACCTTAAAAATTCACCCATAGCCGAAGGAACGCTCCACATTTGCAGTTTTCTTAGACATGCGATAACTAAACCGGTAACATTTGCACCATCCAAGCAATGTACATATATTGGTTGATTTTCCGGATCTATTATTATCTTTATGATGAGAACATGATAAATTTCTGAAGCGTATTGATGTATCAAACGTTAAATTGACATGAACGGTTACCTGAATTGCTTGAACCGCCTTACTATAGCTCAAAGGAACGTTGTCTTTCACTTTATTGACCTGAAGCGTTATATTTTTTATGTTATATTCCTTGCAGAAATCAGCAAGATCGCCGGCTGGTAGATTAGGACATAATGAAAGTATTGTTTTTAAGTGGAGTCTACGATGGGTTTCAAACAGTATTTGTGAGTAAAAACTCTTTGACCGAGCATTTAATTCCATATACAATGTCAAGCCGTCCTCTCATCATTGTACCGTTTTAAGAATCGTAGGTTTCTGCTTTTGGGATATGCACCACGATACACTTCATCCTCGACAATGGCATAACGAAAAGGTGGAATGAGCATGTTAAATTGATCTTGCGTAACCTTTGGCTTCTGTGTTGCAGATCATTCTATATTGATCGGCAAAATGAAACAAACCCGAAGCCACAATATTAATATTAGTTTAACAGATTTTCAGCGAGAATAATAACTTGTAGAATATGAACGCGGTATGAACCAGAGAAGAGAGAAGCAGGAGAGGGGAAGGTGAGTTCAAAGTTGTCTTCAAATGGCCGTTACTTTCTCATTTTTTAGTATTTGTATGCACTATTTTTGAACGCCTTTTGTTATGTAGGTTTTTAATTGTCAAAATGCAAATAACATAATACGAGTCCCATAGAGTCACGCAGATGGGTGAGTGTATAGTGATCAATATTTTGCTCCGGATGGAAACTTATCAATACTGGGAAAAGGAAAATACAAAAATCCTATAGTCAAAAAAACATAACTCAACATTTATTGACAGTCATGTGATTCATAACACAGGTTAGGGTTATTGAAACTCCATATTAATATGAGGGTTGGTCTACCAACTCTTAACAAAACACATTCTTATCGAGAAATTTACACACTTCGGTGTTCGAATTTCGAACCATTGTAATGAGCTGTTTTACGAACGTGCTTGAGATGAAACTACATAGAAAATACAATATGGCCTCGAACACGCGTTGTGTAACTGGCGGGTTATTTGTATATCTACTACTACGATCTGACATTCCCGATAAAATTGATTTTGAACATTCGCGCGGTATAGTGATTATATAACCTAAGCAAAAATGAATTACGTGGACACATGTTGATTTTTGTTTCTGCAATAGAACTTGCTTATTCTTTACTCGAAGCTCAGTTGTCTGAAAGCGAAGGTGACAAAAACAAGGCTGCCAGAGAAGAAGGGGAACAGTTTTGAGAAAGTGATCATCGCTTAGCTTCGCTTGAAGCTATCACGGAGTTGAGGAAGAGGGATCGGTGTTGGAAAATGGGAAACGAATCAGGGACTTGCTACATTGCAAGACATTTGCAGCAATAAAGCGAGCCCACGTTTACCAAGCGTGATTCGATATATTTTTTTCCCTTATCTGCATATGGGATTTACATTCCAAATGTCGATATCTCTTTCGGCCAGCCTATCTTCGATAATTGATTTGCCATCTGAATTTGTCGGTGACAAGATGACGTGATTTGGGGACGATTGGCCTGCTGTGAAAGCGAAAAGCTTGGAACTGATCAATGTCACGCCAAAATCATTTGAAACCTCCGACAGGATTGAAGAGGTATTGGAATTTCCTTTTATTACCAAAAATATGCACTATATAAACAAACACTGATACTCTGTAGATGTGTATCTTTATTGGGAGGCTAGAGATTTCTTACTACATAAACTGAAGGATAGAACGCGCGATGGTTTGCACCTCTGCAAGTCAGATGTTACTAGTGATTTTATATTTTTTCACCCAAATTTTTTTAAAACAATCTTTATTACGTAGGCTGGCTAGTCCACATATCTTCATAGGAACGGATGGCTGCAAAGAACCTCTCGGAAATGGATCTTGTAATAAATGCCATTGGTCTTATACTGAAGATAATCTTTGCCGATGGTCAACATCTCATCCATTTCAAATGGTGCATATCAGTCATTGTTATTATGAACTGATTTATTACACCAAGACGGCATTGTAGGGAAGAAACAATATCCAAGTCAGCAAAGCGTCGAAGAATCGATTTGAGAATTGTTAATTCTGGCGAAGACGTTGAATTTAGCCTCTAGAAGTCGCTCAATTAGCCACACCTGCCAAAATTGCGAACGAAAGACGAAGCGAACACATGCGGAGGAACAAGTCTGTTCTTTATAGATACCTCTCGTGTGATGAAGCCGTGAATGATTCTGCAACCTTTGGTCAGATTTCTGGCACAATGCAGTGATTTACTGCTTTTGCACAAACGTCATACTGACTCTTGCTATGTTATTAAGACTTTTTTGGACATAAGCATTTAAGTTCGGGTTTTATGGGCCTGTATTCAGGTTCACCAACCAACTATCCAATAGTGGAAACCTGAAACCAGCATTGGAAGTTCTGTATTTCTTGAAGATAAGGAACAGTGCCTCAGTGATCCTTTAGAATTGCTAGTGGCACTGCAATTACTTTAATGACAAGACAAAGTTGTTCAGAAGGCCAAAGTACTGTCTCAACTCAAAGCCTTCCATAAGAGACGTATGAAGCAGCCAAGAATCAATCAAAGTCACGCCACCAAAAGTTTGGCTTATTACATCGACGCACTTCACACATAGACGATATCAATGGTTTATGAAATGACGCGATTGCATCCTCGGGTCGCCAAGGGAGAGAAATTCCGACCTTTGTATAATCAAAAAGACTGATTCCAAATAATATCAATACAACCTACGGTAGAAATAGCACTTCACCACACATAACCATCTTCAGATAAGTCCGGTCAGTCTTAGCGGTCATCTGATTTACTTCATACAGCTTTGAAATGCTTATATTTGAATTCAAAATAATAATAAAAATAGTGTACGCTGACGAATTGGCTTTAACTCTAACCAAATTTTCAATATGTAACTTACAACTCACAGATATTAAGTATGCAAATTCAATTCGTTCCCTCTTTCTATAAAGAGATGAAATTTCTGTGATGTTTTGAAGCAAACGATAATATAGTAATAGAGAAAAAAGACGGCTAAACGCCTGATTTCGTGCCAGTAAGATTCGTGGACGTTGATCGAGAAAGACGTCAACCTCAACACTTGCACCGTTCTTATTACCAGGAAATCTTAATCCTCACACGTCATACACGTCGTAGCGCGTAATATTTGCAATTATAAATTATCAATTTTCACTTTTTATTAATTTCCTTTTCTTTTTCACGGGCTCTACAGTCTCTAACGTCTTCCAGAGTTCGTCATCAGCTTCGGCCTGTGGCGCCGTATTTGTAGGCTCAACATCTATGTACAGAAGAATACTGTGAGGTATTGTTCATGACAATACATTACGAAAAATTACGAGACAATGATTACCATCAGTGTCAATTAATACGTCAGTTAGCTTGTGTTTCAAGTAGACTTTCTGCAACAAGTTACGCGTTCCATCCATTTTGTGAATTCGTAAAAAACGATCAAGGCCAACTGTGATCAAAAGAGACCTTTGGTGATCTACGGCCAAGCCACGAGCAGTTCCCGCAAATCCTGATAACATAAAGTCGAAATCCCAGTTAAAAAAAAACAGCGCATTATTTCATGTATCGTATGCTAACATGCTTCTTCACCTTTGTATCGCTCGAGTAATTTCCCTATGAATCAAAGACAACACAGTTAAACATTGTTCGGGACAAAGTACGAGAGTAAACAAAATATATAACTGAGGTAGAAGACCTAATCATTGAAGAACGGATTAAGTTGACTTACCGGCTCGAATGTCTAATGATTGAACATTTCCGAACGTATCCGAAAATACTACTTCACTGAATGTAAAATTGACATCATCAGTTATTACATTGGAATCAACATTCGGAAGACTGCTAGTTAGCCGAAACAAAAAAGTTACCGTACTTTGCATTTTTCCCTCGGACTAAAGCCACCACTGGATGCTCACCCGTAGTTACGTCCAAAACCGGTCTCCGCGCAGCTTTGATATCATATAATCGAATCTACAATAGGAACCAGTTTTAGAAGGGGAACAAAAACTTTACACAAATCAAAACTAATAAATTCCAACCTGATGATGACGTGTTCCTGTCACCAACTTTGACACATCGTCGTCGTTCAGAAATTGCAAGTCTGTTATCCAGACAGGAACTCTCATGTCCAAAAAATCATTCTTCACATTTTTTGCTCTCCAAATCACGCCTGGTGGATCCTTCGTGTTTCTCGTATATATGCTTGTGATAGATGGGGATGTCTCGGAACCATGTGCATTTACATCCCAAATAGATAAATCACGTTCTTTACCACCACAAGCAAAAATATGATGTTCTTTGGTATGAACACGCAGACGACATAAATCTGGTGATAAGGTGAGCGTTGTTACTGTATGTTCTGGCTAAGATAATCAGAACTTAGCATTAGAAACCGTCTATCTTTACTTTGTTATTAACCGATTACTTTTTCTAGACATACGTCCGCTGATGCAAGTGATCTGTAACAAACTGTTCCACCATCCGTAGCAGTTACCAGTGTCCTAAAAATAACAACATTAACATGATTAACAAATTGTATGACATTTGCTTCAAACGCCAATATCTCATCATCTCGTACCTGTCGTTTGCAAACAACCCAACAAAAACACCCTTATTCTTTTCATTAACTTTAATGCTGTCTTCCGTAAATTTAGTAATAATTTTCCCATCTTCATTGGGATCGATAAAGTCTATACGCCCATTTTGACGAGCAGCCACTATCTAAATAAATAACAATGAGTTTCGTCACCCCTCTCCACAAAAAATCGATCAAGTGGATCAGACATGAGATACGCTACCGCTTTTCGATTTTCTATTAATCCATGACATAGTAATTGTATACCTTCTTCTCGATTTATCTTACCCCATGATTTAACTGCGACCGAAGCCGATTCTTCAGAGGATGACGTCTCATGGACTGTGACAGCTGTTGCAAACAAGGAAAACGGTTAATTTGGAATAATCATTTACCAAATTATTTCTTTTCAAACGTCGGAATGTCTACATTTGAGTAGCCCCCACTTCGTCGCCTGTGTAATATCTCATATTCTTTGTATGCCATAGAAAAGCATCAAACATCAACGAAACACTTTTTTTTTTAGACAACGAGAATTTCAGCCAATCATCTTACGCAGTGTCAAAAAACTGGTGCGCAAGAATAAAAAGGACAACAAACATCTTTTCTCTCTAACCAAATTTGGTTCCGTAAGACGAAACTGATTGGCCTGTAATCAAGGGTACCAGTTGTGCATGCTTTTTTTACTCACTCGGCCATCGAATAGCATATAACCGGAACGAATGTTTCAGGAATTTTTATTATTGTAACCCATACTTATCACTTCATTGTGTTGCTTCTTTGTATGATGGATAGGGTTCAGTACAATAAGAGAATATTTCTCTATTTTTCGACTCGCATGTTAAATGCGGACAACAATAAAAAACTGACGTCTAAGCGATCTTTTATCGGGAGGTGGAGTGTTCCATAAATACCAGACCCTCATTTTTTTTTCTCGGATGCCACGACGAACATTATCACCTCCCCCACTTGCGTCGCCTGGAGCGACTTCGAGCGGCTTTGCATTGCCACAATCACCAAGCTTGAACCAAGAAGAAGGCTTCAGAATGCGCTCGGTTGGATCGCCCCGGTTGCCTTCCGAAAAGAATAGTGCTGGTAAAGCATAAGCTAAACTTGGAACATTTTTTTTTACAATCATTAACCGGTTTGTTCATAATGACATGTTACTAACGTTTTGCTATCTCACTTTTTGTCTTTGGCAGGCGCACAGAAACCACCCCTTGTTCCTTCTACGACCACCATTCATCCATACATCGGACTTCGCGCTAAATTGTCTCAAGCTTGGCTGGCTTACCCAATAATTGCCCTTCTTTTCATCGTATTCCGTCTCCTTTCAGCAATAAAAACGATTCCGACATTAGTAGACGAAATAAAACAGAATGCTCTCCGCTCGTGCAACGCACTCGAAACAGCAACTTCGACAGTGACGTCACTTCCGCACTTTATGGCAGGTGGGTTTAACAGAGCGACCGTGGACGGTGTCAACTTGTCGATCAAGGCAATTGCAAACACACTGGATTTAGCAATCTTGGCATTGGAGGGAATCATTATTTGGTTAATCAGTATATTTAAAAGCACTTATCGGTGTTTGTTGGAACTAGCAATTAGAGGTTCGTTAGATGCAGTTCAAGATGCTATTGCAACTGTGACTCAAGCTGTTACCAACAACTTGGCTGGCATTAAATCAAGTATTGACAGTCAAGTCAATTCGCTCAACGATGCGTTGAACAGTGTCAGACAAAATCCTGTGGTTAGCAACCTGAATATCAACATACCCACAATCACTATTTCAGCGACCGATGGGTTGACAAACATGCAGTTTCCAGCAATAGACCAAGGCATCGGTCAGTTAAATAACAGTCTTCCTACTATGGATGAAATCGAGAGCAAGCTGGATAGTCTGATATCCATACCGTTTGATCAATTGAGGACACTGATTCAAACCAGCATGAGTAATGTTCATTTCAATGAATCCGTACTTCCGGTGCCACCTAAAAATCAAATTACCTTTTGCGCCGATAATTTGGATTTATCAATCGTCGATAAAATTTCGCACGATTTGGTGAAGGCGGCGTACATTGGACTTGCCGTTTTGGTTGTTATTGCTCTGCTGATGATAGCTGGTAATGCTGCTGTTATTTGGTACTCTCATCGTCGGTTTATGAGGCACGTCGATCGGACCAAAAAGACCATTAGTCTAGTTACTTTTACTCATACGCGTGAGACTACTATTGAGATTATCAAAATAGCTGAAAGACCGTTGATTACTCGCTGGTTTATTAAAGCGTCTCGGTTTTTCAAAAATCCGGATCATCAACATTTGTTTAGATGGTTTTGGGACTATATTTTGAATCGGGGAGCATTGGTTTGTCTCGCCATTGGTCTTGTTGGTGTGCTTGGTATATACTTGCAGCTCGCCATACTTGATGGTATACGCGGTAGCTATCAACAACCGTTGACTGATACTATTAACACGTTCGGTAACGTGGTCTTGGACAAAATCAATGGTGCATTGAACGATACGTCAAGGAATTATGCCTCTCAGAGTAATTCTGCCATATCCAACGTGGAAAATGATATCAATACAGAGCTGCTTGGTTGGGTGAACACGACTACAACAGCGTTAAACAACACTTTGAACTCAGCAGTTGATGATATTACTACTTTCATTAATGGAACGTTCGGAGGTGTCCCGGTTTTATTAACGGCAGTTAGCCAAGTCTTAAACTGTCTATTATTTGTGAAAATACGTGGTATACAAGCTGGCCTTACGTTTATACAAGAAAACGCATCAATCAACCTTCCACGTGTGAACGACTCTATTCTACTCGTGGATAGATCAAACATGCAAGAAGTAGTGGACCAAGCCACAACGCAACTTGTCGGATCACCAGGTTCAGACTCATCTGGCGGTGAGATTGGTCGGTTGTTCGACGTATACGAGTCTTCGCTCAAGTCTGAACTTCCGCTATTTTGGCTACTCATTGCTTGTTGGTTCTTCCTTGTGCTAATGGGAATTGGTCGTGTATTGTGGTTTTTATTCGTACAAAAGAAAAAGAACAATAACAAGGTACTTCAACAAGCTTTGTCAGATTCATCATCGGATGAAAAGACGTCGCAATCACCCACATATCCTCCACCGAGTAAAGCGAGATCCATATCGCTCCGGCGCGATACCAACAAGGAAGATGGCACAGAGATACAGCGATTCTCAATGTTGAAACGTGCAGCATCTCAAGTTCGCAAAACGGACGAAAAACATTTCAATTCATTACGATCAAAGCTAAACGGGTTGGTTAAGCGACAATCTGAGTCTCCAAAAATGACAAAGAGATCCCAACCGAGTTATCCGAGCAATAGCAATTTGTTGGATTCTCCTCAATTATCGCCGCAGATGGCCTATGGGTCTGACCAGTATGTTGCTGAGTGGGATGAAGAAGGCGATCAGGATTATGATTCGATTTACGAATACACGCAAGACTACGATAATCCGCCAACAAGAGCTCCCGTTCCAAATCGGCAGCAGAACGATCCATTCCTCACCCCATTTGATTGATTGATGTTTGGTGGCGTGGGGGGTTAAACTATATAATATAATATAAACGAAAGACACAATATAATATATAAACTCATTTAATGTACAATTGCTTGCTTCCTGTATAGTAAAACACGTTTCGTAGATTTTGCATAATAAAAAACGGTAGATTTCTAGCAAACTAGAGTGTGCAATGCCACGAGTTTCTACATTGACAGGAATCAGACAAGAAAAGAAATCGCAAGAGTATGTATTAATTGTTGACATTGCGATGAACCTGGACCTGAACGAGACGTTGATTCTTGGCACACGTTCACGCAACGTCCGACGATGTAAATATGAATGGAAACCATTGTGCAAACTTGAACGTCATGGAATATATTTTCAATATCAATGCAAATGTACAAATCTCGCCCGTTTTCAATTTTTTCCCGTTCCATCAGTAGCAATCATCACTGTATATTACATAACATCACCCAGTGGGGAAAAGACATTTTTCCCTTTTGCGTTAATTAAATATCATCTGCAAAAAAAAAAAGAAACGAAAACGTACCAAGAAAAAGAAAGGAAAAGAAAAGAGAGAAAGAAAGAAAAACCAAAATAACAAATGACAATGCAAATATTAAACAATTCAATACTTCCCTTTTGCAAACCCTTTCCTATTGGGAATTTCATCAACTCCATGACTCGACACTGGATTCGCATAGATTCTTCTTGAGCATTTTAATGTCCTTGTGAGAGTAGTCGCCTGCGAGCACTTTTGCCACAGCAATGTAGGCATCATCAGTCTTGAGACAGAAGGGGTTGTTGACTTGTATTGGGACTTGATCAGAGGTTAGCATTTTGAGATGCAAACGAGAGGCTATAAAAAAGACAAAGTAATCACGTGAGAAGAATGTAAGTATTAGTATTGCTAAAGATTATTAATTATACATATGTTTATAACATCTGTTTCTCTTTCTCTATCTCTCACTCTCTCTTTTTCTTTTGCATACTGTTACTACAAATCGAAATCAAGGAACGCGTGGGTAAAAGGAATAGTAACGTAACCCTTCCATTTATTCCCGGAGAAACAAAGACCTTTTCCGGACGAGATATGATGGAACCTTAAATTAAATCACACCCCTTGACAATTTAGACAGACCTACCAACATTGTCGACAAATACAATCAAGATCTTCTCTCGCCCCGCCACCTTTTTAATCTTCATATCAGGCTTGAGCCTTCCCAACTTGGTACTCAACAACAACACTTGTCCTAGACTTTCCTGATCGATAGCGGGCGCCAGCTCTCTCTTCACCACCTTTTTCATGTCGGCTACATCAGCGCTATATGGTACTAGTACCTTTACAGCATCTGTGTGTCTCGAATGCCTGACCCACATGATTGATTGATTTTCCTCGTTGACGTAGAATAAGGCGTAGTAAATTATGGATACGAAGGCAAATGTGAGGAAAATGGTAAACAGGGGAGGAGGGGGTTTGGACGAGTGGTGGCCATGTGAAGGGAATGAAGCTATCACCGACATTATATATATACAAGTTGTGGGATAGGTAGGTTAGGCGAAATTTTATTCGAGGTGTAAAAATGCAGAGAGAAGCTGACGTGGGGAATTTTCTCTGTTTCCCTGGCCTGGGATTTTTAAGTTGCATGACATTCCAAGAGATTATCCGATGTGTAACATTGGTGTGATTCAAAAGAAAACCCGTTATTGGGTGATCTTCCCAACGTTAAACATAATGGCACTCAGGGTAATGTATTTATTTTTGAATGGAGAATTTATAAGCCATTTTGGACGGAACGGGAAGAGAATGTTGTCTAATATAAATTTGATATATTGGTATTGATACATGAACACACGCACACACGCACACACACACGCACACACAACACACACATACACACACATACACACATATATATACTTGTATACATTTTTTCATATAATTTGTCCAATGATGGAATTAAATAGTATCTATCACAACGGTTGGCTCAACAAATCGACGAGGAGTTAATGTCTCAGAATGGTGCTTTCTCAATTGATCAGGTAGTATTTGATGAATTTTTAGATATCTGATAGACCTGAAGATGAAAATTCATTAACATGTTGGTCTCCATGTAGCTTATGGAATTAGCAGGGTTGAGCGTTTCATGCGCGATCGCAAAAGTTTATCCTGTTCGATCTCATCCTCGAGTGGTGGTCTGCTGTGGTCCGGGAAATAACGGGGGTGACGGTAATTCAACTTGTTGAAGGTGGAGTTGGGGGGAAGCGAGCAGAATCATGCAAGCGTGTTATGATATTGGTAAAAATCAATCGAATAAATTAGGTCTTGTTGCTGCAAGACATTTGTTCCATTTTGGGTATTCTCCGAGTATATTCTATCCTAAGCGAAGTGGGAGAGACTTGTATCAAGTAAGCATGCAAAGCAAACAAGCATGGAATACAATCTTTACTTGATATTGACACATGGTTTTTGAAAACGCATTCTCTTGTCTATCAGCGATTAGTTACTCAATGCGATAATCTAAAGATACCATCGATTACGGACCTCAAACAACAACTGGAGCAAACCGATCTGATAGTCGATGCTATATTTGGTATTATGTCTCGTGAAGTAATTAGTCACAAGTTATATTCGAACGTATTTGAAATTAAAAAGCTTGTCAACTTAATATAGGTTTTAGTTTCAGCGGGAAAGTGCGAGCTCCATTTGATGATGTCATCCAGGTAATATAGGTGAATGTGCCATTATTGTAAACATGCTAATTG